CGCACGCTTGGGTCCTCGCTCATAAAAAATTACAGCGGGGGAAACGATAAATCGAGACTGTCTCCCCGCACCATGAGAAGCTTATTTCTCTTGTCTTTTCCGGGGCGATGATACGTAACGTCGACGATCTTCTTCACGGGATTGAGAAAGGAAGGAAAGGGGAAGCCGCGCACCCCGAGCCACCCTCGGGAGAACGGACGGCGAGCGGAAGAAGTGACTTTCTGAATTACACGGGAGATCGATGTAATACGAAACGTTTATGTCTTCGACGGCGCTCGCCGAGGCGAACACGATCTTCATTTATCATCGAACATCGAAACCCCCGCTGCTTCCCCGAAGGTGGCAGACAACGGCGACGGTGACGTCGTCGGCGTCGTTGTCCGCGGCGACGGAAAAGCAATCGTGTTCGCTATCGTGTATGCGGTTGGTTATCGATGAGAACGCCGGCCGATCGTTTCGCCACTTTTTACGCGACGCGAGACAAAGACCATTAGCGATCTCGCGCGTAATCGCATCGAGTACAACGCGCGGCGACAAAAAGCGGATTGTGCAGTTGCGCTGCGTGCTGCCTGACGCCGGGCGTCGTTGAAAATCAACGTAATGCCCTAATCGATTTTCCGCTGTTTTTTGATTTCCTACTTTCTTGTTGCTTTTTCCACGACCGAAGCGCGAAAGAGGCCGGTCGGAAACTCTATTACCCGCCGGAACGCCCTTGATCGCGGCTCGAGTCAAAATTTCATACTCACTTTCGAATGAACTTTTAAACATTTATATATTTTGACAGTAGTATGTTTAACTAGTGTGTTTAACACACGTGGAATCTGAAGTTCTACTTATAGCGCTCCTAAACAGCAGAAAACGCTACTTGTAGGTTCAAAGCGATTCTATTGCCAAAGTTAGTAGGTTAAACAGATTAGTAGGTTAAACAGAATCAAAACAGTCGATACATTTTAAGTGCATTTTGGTAGATTAAATAGGATTCAGAGGTTGATATACAAGGCTTCAGAGTGTCTCAAAATAGACATTAAATGGAACATTGAGGGATTGAAAGTAGGATATCAAAATTTCGAGGTACCTCGTGTTTCCGCGGTTTCCTTCGCAACGCGCGGCTTCAGGATGCACAGAGGCCTATTAATATTTTCGCAGCGCCGTGGCCAAGCGGCAACTCTCATCGACACTTCTCCATTCATTCCACTCAGTCTCCCGTTAAGTTTGCATAGCCTTACGTCCCCGACCGGCCGACCGCTCGAGCCGCATCCCGCTGCAAAATTAACCGACCGCGGGCGACGCATTCGTCTGCCGAATAAACCGATGTCGTTTGCCGGGAAACCGAGAGGGAAAATATCAACTCTTCTGGAAGCGGCTCCAAACGCCAAATACGCCCTCCGACGAACAGTCGGTGTTTATCCGGAAAATGAAAGCGCGGCTCGTCCAAAAATTCTGCAACGCTCTCGGGAATGCTTGTGGTCGTATAAATAGATCGCTCGTACGAAAATTCGGATTTTTCTCTCGGCAGATTAAAGCGCGTTGTTGGAAGCTCGATATATTTTCGCTGCCTCGTAACTTTGCTCGTAACTTCGCCTCCGCGCACATTTCCGCTGTCAAGAGAGGGAGAGAGAGAAAGAGCGAGCAGGCGGCGCATCCCGGTCGCCTGCTGCAATCCCTGACCAGCAAGAAGTGCAGAACCGCACCTGGTCTCGCGCGGAAACCCGGTCGTCGCGGCGTCGACGAGACGTCGGAATCGAAGGAGCGGAAAGTGCGGTAACGGAAAAACCGGCCCCGCTCGGCGTCCCGGACGCCGAAGAAAAGCGGTTTTCCCGAGGGCTTCTCTCCGTCTTCTTTCCTTCTCCGAGGCGAGAGCGAGCCTCGAGCGAAGGAGGAAGACGCGCGGAAGGAATGCACAACCGGCCGATGCTCTTCTCGAGATGTAAACTGTTTGCGTTGCTTCCGGTACAACCGGAGGTCCGAGAAATGGCCAGACGGGACGATCCAGCCGGCCATCACCTAAACAGAGGAGAGAGGAACTCGCAGCTCTATCCTTTCTCTCTCTCTCTCTCTCTCTCAATGTTCGTTCCACTTGTCTGAGGCCGCTATTAATAGTCTTTACTTAAAGCTTGCCTTACGTGAGATTTCCTTTGATTTAAATTTCGAATTAAATCTGAGTTTTTTACAGTCGAGTTATGATGTATGTGATCTTATAGCCCGTAGTATAGTCTTTTGAATCTTGTCCCTATTGTGATATACTTAGATCTGGGTTTGATGTTGTGTCAGAGGTTTTCGCTTAAGTTGTACGACATTCGTGACATTATATTTGTAAATCAACATGTATTTCCATACTCACACGTGATTATCTCACTTTGGGCAAGTAACTATTATTAATACAGATCCGAGTCGTTATCTGTTTTCGTTGAAGCACGAGTTTTTTTATTTCGAGCATTTTTTTTTAACGTAAAAGACGTAAAAGGTGACAGCTTGAGGAATTTCGCGATCGAGGCAACGAACGCGCGCGCGCGTATGATGGATAACGGTTGAACTGCAAAAGTGATACGGGTCAACGAATTCGCCGGCGCGACATTTCTCCCAAAATCTACCGTCGCAGTTGAGCGCACGTTGCTCAGGTTTGCCAAATCGGTGATGAATCCGGTGAGGGATGTCGACCGCCGTCGATTATGCGGAGCGTATGGGGTATCAGGACAGGCCGCGCGAGCTGTTAGTCATAATTTGCCTGATTGGCGCGGAATTAGCGCCCAACTATATCACACCGTAATCGCATTCCGCGAGGATTTATCGCGCGGCGATGTATTTACGACGCTTTTAGCGTTTCCCCGCTTTTGTTCCTCGGGCAACGCGCGCGCCGAGGACCGTGCATTTTTATTATTGCGCAATTTCGTCCTCCTCGCCGTCCTCCTCCCCGCTTCCTCCTTCTTCCGTTCGCTGGCGCGAGCGGTTTCCTGCGCGGATCGCACCTGAAGGACAAAAGCCGGGCGAGCGTTCAATTTCAGCCGGTGTTCAGTCCGGCGACAATGAAAAAAATAAAAGAGCCCATCTCGCTCCTGATCGAATAAAATGGAGTTCTGCAATTTGTCACCCCGGGCGCGGATCAATGGGTGATGTTTTTTTGAGAGGACGGTCCAACCCTTCGGTTGTCTCCTCCACGACCCTTGCCAACTAATCCCCCGACGATTAATCTACCGAACGTCCTGCAAATAGCGTCTCCGCTCCCACCTGAAGGTTATCGCCGTCGGATTTTCGGAGATCATCGCCTCGGGAAGGGGGGTGGAGGAAAGGAACGGGGACAGAGCGATCCTCCGAACCAATCGATCGCGATCGGCCGGCGCGACGCGCGCTCTCGCCTCTTCACGCTCGGTTAGCGTGGGAGTCTTGGCGTATTTTCCGGTCGGCCGGCGTCGGAACATTTTTCATTGCACGCCGCGACGCCGTAAACAGCAACGTTATTAATACGCCGGCGCGTTAACGGTAAATATCGGAGCTTCGACTTTGGTCGACGGCGCAAATATCTCTCCGGGGCTGCCTGCGACACCATCGTCGCGCTTGCATATCGCGAAATCGGGTTGATTTATTTTGTATTACAACAGTCCATCGCGCGCGCCGCGCGAGAATGACCGATATAAACTGTTAAGCTCGGCACAATAGGCGGCATTAAGCTGTCAACGCGAGTTTGATAGCGCGCTGGAAGGAACGAGCGCGCGATACACGCACCTTCGTAAAGGTACGTGTCGATCGATCCACTCTCGAAATTGCTCGCCACGTGAAGGACGAATCCCTTCGAATCTCGGAGTCCCAGGGCGGAGAAGCAAACGATGCAAAATCTCACGGTTAAACAAATCGCCCAAAATATCACTCGCGTATGCGATTTTACTTTGGCAAAAAATGTCGGAAAAATAAAAAATATACGGTGTGTGCTGAAAACAAAAATTTCTTTGAAAACTATTCCATTCAAATAAAATAAACAACTACTTTTCTCGTGAAAAGCAACGGCTAGAAAAATGTATGTTTTTTCTCTTGCTTCAAATCAATTTTTTCTCTATGTATAAAATGTTTCTTTCGTGTGTCAGTAAAAAATATTGGTGTAAGTAAACATGTCATTAGTGCCCACCGCAAATAATTATTTTTTATTATTGAAATATTATTTGAAACACATTTTTTCCCTATGTATAAAATGCCTTTTTTTAATGTGTAAAAATACACATATTGATGTAAGTAAATATGTTATCAGTATTCACCGCGAATAACTATTTTTGATTATTAAGATATTTCTTCTCTCAATATACACGTGTTTGTTCAGTGGTGTCGAGTATTAATTAGGATTTTCCTTGGACTAAAATAATCTTCATGTCAATGATCAAAATTAATCAGTTGTTATGTATAAAATGACAAACACTTTTATTGATAAAAGTAATTGTTAATTAAGTTTTAATATGATTGATTATACACTGACTAATAATTAATTGCATTAATCGTTAAAATTATTCGTGATATGCGCATATGATGACTGATTAATTTTGATTATTGATTAGCCGATTATTGCAGTCATAGAAAGTTTTTGGCGACTAATACCTAACACACCGGTGTTTGGTCGGTCGAGAGATTAACGGGATAATTGCGTTTACAACATTTGTCCTACCTTTGCTGTAAGGCGCAACGGCGAATTAAATTTTCATTGAATTAAATAATTGGAAAATCAGTAATGGAAATTATTCAGTTGTCATATGTAAAATCGCAAGTAATTTCATCGACTGATGAAAGTAATTATTAGTTGAACTTCGAGGTACGGTTGATTATTAAACACTAATTCATAATTAACTACATTAGCCGATTAAATTATTCATGATTACACATATGACTGATTAGCTTCGTTTATTGATTAGTCGATTATTGCAGTGGAAGAAAATTTTCATCGACTGTTCCCTAACACACGGTGTCTGGTTGGTATTCAAGAGATTAACGGTGATTGCGCTTGTGTGCAATACTTATCCTACCTTTGCTGTAAGGTGCGAGCAACAGCAGATTCACTAGCGCAGCTCCCGTATCGTGGCCCATTATAGTTATCCGCGTTGGATCGCCGCCGAAGGCGCCAATGTTTTCGCGCACCCAGCGGAGTGCCATCGTGATGTCCTTCAACGCCAAATTCCCGCCAGATCCGCTGGTCCTATCGGGGAACGGACGGGTCCTCAGGAATCCTGGAAGAACGCCAAGCGCTCGCGATTCAACGTATTCTCGCGCATCACTGACGGATAATATCCAGCCGCGCCTTATTTCCGACGCTTTTTTCCCTTGCCTTCCCTCTCCTCGAGGCGAAACGTTTATTCGCTTAAATCCTGCCCGCGAATTTGACTGCGAGGAGAGGCGGCGGCTGCAGCAATTCGCGGGTCGGCATAAAGAGAGGTTTTCAAGCGCGATGACTCCGTTGCGGCCGATATAATAAAAGAGTGCCTGCGGCCGCGCGCGAAACCGTTGGATAAATTCGCGTACGAATTAAATGTATGACTAGAGAGAGACGTTTATTATCCTTATATTTATACGTCGGGCGTCAAGATTGAAACTCGCGACGGATTGCTTCCCCGAGTTACGCGGTGATGATTAAGCGCAGAATTCGTTCGTTACGTCATTAAGTCATAATCTAAGGCGGTTTGACGTGTAAATAGGCAGAACTGACATTTTCGGACTTTGGTATATTCGTAGTGCAGCGACGTGGATGCACTCGTAGATCCTCGAAATTTCAATATTGACTCGGGTGTGTAAACAGTTCCCGCCGACTATCTCTCTATTTCGGAGTACAGCCGGGTAGTTAATGACATGAACTTACTTTCGGCAGTGCGAGTCGTATAATAACTGTGCGCGATATGCCTTTTTCACCCTGCAGCGATGCACTGTGGTCCTTTCGCGGACGGGGAATCACTTAAGTTCTATTCTATATACGATAGTCTCCTTTGGAGACGCTGAGGGCAAAGCGACATAGCTCGACAGCAATCATGAACGTGAGATATGTTTATGGGAATAATGAAGGGCTTTTTGACATTCGATCGAGTAGAGAAATTTAAATCCATTTGAACTTATCTAACACATTGATTGCTATGGAGTTTGTGAAGGAATTTACTCCCAAATTTCTTTTTGCGTAATTCATTTTTCACATTAAGAAAACATGTTTAGTACTAATGTTTCTAATTTTGGAAAGCTACATATAAATATACATTAAAAAAGATATCTGAAAATTAACTTGGGTGATGTAAAATTTATTTCTTAAAAATAACAAAATTTATATTTTTGTGAAAAATAAAATCTACAATAAAATGAAAGTTAATTTCGTAGAAATAATGTTAATATTTACGGAATAATTAATAAAACAAATTCTTCATTTAGTTGAACCAATTAAACGAATCATACTAAATAATTTGGTAATAATTACTAAATAATTCGATTATTACCAAACAGTATTTGAAAAAAAAAATCATTTAATCATATTCACTTACACGTTTAACTGAAACTATTTCATCAAAACGTTCGGTAACTATTGCGTAGACTTATGATTATTTTTTTCAATATATATAATACTGGCGTCTTCCGAAATGTTGATATCCTACATTTACGTAATGTGTAACAATTAATATAACAAAAGAACACAAATTTGAGGAAGAAAGAGAGAAAAAGAGAAAAGAGAGAGAATTAGGTGTATATATCAGCATTAAAAAGATAATATCCTGTAACGCGTAAACGCTACTTGAAATACTTCCGCCCGCGATCTCGGAACATCGTGTCGAGAGGGCCGCTTAATGAAAATGCTTTCGGGCGTGCAGGATACTTGATTAAAGGGTGGCACGTACCTAAGATGCCGAGACGATAGTTGAGCGTGATCACTATGACGTGGCCAGCGCTCGCCAGGACCGATCCGTCGTACAAGTTACCCGATCCCCATTCGAAACTTTCACCGTGAACGTACACCATCACCGCGTACGGCGCCTCCAGTCCTCGAGATCCTGAAAGCGGCAGCGTACGTCGTACTCCTCTCCGCGCACCTCCATTTTCTTCCACGAATAAACCTCTTATCCGTATAAACCTCCATTGACACATCCAGCTTTCTCGTAATACCGCGCGCGACATTATCGCTTACGTTGCATTATGCCGGCTCGCTTTACCCCTCCGAGGGATAAAGCCGCGAAACGTAAAAGCGACGGCGAGGTCTCGCGGGTCTCCTCGTACTTTTAACTGTTATCTTTCCATGTAACCCCGTTATCGACTTCGTATTTATAATATACCACGCGCTTTCAGAGAGAGAAAGAGAGAGAACAACAGAGAGGGAGGATATGATAGTGAGCGCGCTTAAAGTCTCAAAACGCATTCTCCCGCGTGCTACGTAAGCGTGGAAGCAAGACGCGCCGCCGCGACTAATTAGCCCTTACTTTTTTTTTGTCTGGGCAATTCAGACCGCTAATTGTATCTCATAATCCGCGCTGAGGATGATCGTGAGCTGTTTGTCCCCGCGAAGCCGCGCCACGCGCGGAGGGCGTCCACCCTTCATACTCGCGATTCCTCGCACGTAGGGAAGCTTCGGGTGGAAAACCGTCGCGTCAAACGCCCTAATTTGCACCCGAAGAAGACGGATGCGCGCGACGGATGCGCTTTTATTAAGAGCAACCCTTCGTCCGATGGGATGCATCGATCGACGGGGGAGAGACCGGCGCGTACCAGCACGCAGAGCTCACTTATTTGCGCGCGGATTCCTCTCGCGCCGATGGTGAACTCTCCCGTGCGTAAGAAGAGGCAGAGAAAACACGGTACGGAGAAGAGAAACGCATCGCGCTGCCGTGATCTCGCGGTTTACGCGGTTTACACGACTCGCGGATTCGCTCGAGGCGCATCGCGAATTCGCGCGTGTTATGACGCGGCCGTCGTAAACGTTCGGCACGTTTGGCAATCGGCATCGATAAAACACGGGTATGACTTACTTATTTTTCTTCCTTTTCCTTCTTCCGGCTTTAAATGTGTTCTTGCGTTTTTACGGTGGATGTAAAATTTTATATCGGGCGTGTGAGTCGCATAAAGACCGGATGAACGTAAATTAAAACGAAAGAAACTAGTTTTAATAAGACTGTGAGGATTATATGGCGCTTTTTATAGATTCGCGCGCTTCTCTTGAGTCGCTTCTCAGGAGAGACAGAGAGAAAGCTCCCTCGCGCTCGACACAGCTCTCTCCACAGCACGGCGCATTCCCTGCCGGAGAATCCTTCCCTTCATGTGAGATATTCTTGTCAGCGATTTGCAGATTAACTCTTTGACTGCCGCACGTTATCGTGGCCTATACAGAGGGTCCATTCGAACGGCTCAACATTTTGATTGCAAACCCCATTTACGGAAATGCATTCTTAGTTAAAGGAAATAATTTTTTGTAAAATTAAATATGTATCATACATGTGATTTGCATCACAAAACCAACTCTCAATGTACAACGCGTATCACGCATGTCCGCAATCAACGCGTTGAAATTTTCCGAGCCCAGATTTTACCCCTTCCTGTTTCCTCGCGGAAGCTAATACCGAGAAAAAAAAGTTTGGTATTTGTATAAAAGCAAGAGTATAGAGAAATAACTACCATAAATTATGTCCAAAAAGAATTATTTTTTATTAAATTCTACTATGATGTTTAATGATATTCATTTTATATGCATGTTACTAGCATTTTTTCTACAAAAAGTACGGTTGGGGCGAAAAATAATCCGAGTTAGACCAATCATTTCTTTCTTCTCAGTGTACACGGTGAGATGTCTGACGAAAACTCAGATCGCCCAGAATTTTCGCACGTGAATTCGCATTTTCTCGTAAGTTCTTACGAAAAGAAAGCCGGTATTCGAGAGACGAAAGATTTCACTCGTTCCCCACAGCCGTCTCAGCGTTCGGTGGACTAACAAATCCCTAATGCGTTTATCCCAGCAGGCGCGGGGTATCGCGATCAATTAACGTCCGTCTGCCGCACACGCGATTTACACCGCGCGATTATCGTCCGACTGGATACCGTGCCGAAGCACTGCGGCGAAAGGATGGGCTTTGCACCGCCGGGGGGGCTGAGCGTTTGCAATAATCGCGATCAGCAGTGGCTCGATCACGCGCCGCGATCTTACTTTGATTACTCGTTCGCGTAAAATTCTGTTGATTAGTGGCGATCAGCTGGACAAGCGCGCGCGGCACGAACCGGCGCGCCAGCGAGCTCGTCTTCATCGATTACCGCCGTTGGAGCAATCGATCGATAGGGCCGCCGGGCGTCGCAGAGCATCACCAGCGGCCCGGGCGTGTTCCGCGCGATCGTATATTAGACAGTCCTTATGGCGATCGTTAATTGCGCTTTAATCGTCGCAAAATCCATCCCTGATCGCCAAGCTGAAGGGCTGGCGTCGCTCTCTCTCTCTCTCTCTCTCTCTCTCTCTCTCTCTCTCTCTCTCTCTCTCTCTCTCTCTCGCGCGCCAATTTTGACGAAAATTGATTCTCTGTTGCGCGCTGTGAGCGGCCTTATCGCGACTCGACGTTAATCACTCGCGATTCATCCTGATTCTCATGTACAGAGGACGTCGCGAGATTATTATCAGCATCCCGAGTCGAAATTTCCAGTTCTATTTTCAGCTTGAATTTTTCAACATCTATATATTCGGAAGGATCAGCGTACGATTAATGTACAACACATGGAAACTGAAAATAGTCCTGCGTATATATACGTTATTAGTGCCCACCGAATAAATATCGTCCTTCAGATATATTTTTTGTCCGTGTACTAACCTTGCCGAGAGATTCTCTGTAAAACAATTTACAAGTGACATTTTGCGCGTTTTCTGCCATTCAGAGGCGTTAAGTAGGACTTCTGTTTCTATGTGTGCACTGTGTGCGGTAGAGAAAATATCTGAAAAGTAAAAAAGAAAATGTCTAAAAAGTAAAAGTAAAAAATATCTAAAAAGTAAACATTTATTCGGTGCGTATTAAAAATATATTTACTAAAATCTAAATCCTCTTATTTAGATAGAATAATTGCTTTCATGAAAAGTTAGGAGATCTTAAGAAAATGTAATTTTCTTATTTGAAAAATATTTTATATCTAGTCCAAGTAAATATGTGTTATATCAATACCCATTAAATATTTTTTACTTCTTAACTATTTTTTCTCTCAGTATGCACATGAAAACTACGGTCCTACTTAGCGCCCTTAATAAAAAGAAAACACACCAAGTGCCGCTTGTAAGTTCTAAAGAGAACCTTTCAGCAAAACCAGCAGGTTAAATGGAATCAAAAGACGTTGACATAGATTTGAGAGTATCAGAGTAGTGGTTAAATGGAATACTGAGGTCGAAAGTAAGATCAAAATTTCGTCTCGAGATCCCAAACCCCGAGGAATTCCCGTTCCCTAAGGGAAAGGTCCTTTTTATGCGTTGGCGCGCAGCCGTTCGCGTCGCAACGAGAACTCTTTGAGACGTTGTGCTTCTGTTTTTCGCGACTTGTTACTTTCCTCTCCGCGCCTGGTTGGTTTCTCTCACCTAATTCTCGGGGTTTCTTCTTTTAAATTTAGACAGCCGCTGCTTTACGTTGCAAATTCGCCTGTATCTTCTATCGTGCGCCAAGTGCGGCAGGTAGCGCGCGACGACGTAACGCGTGCGGCCGCGCTCCCGGGCTGATACTAGTCCCCGCTATAAAGGTACTAATTACTTTAGGACTAATTACTTTAGGAAGCAAGTTGCGCCTCGCGCGTGTAATGCTACACGGACGCGCATAAATTGTCGGCTCCGATAGATAATGCAGTTGGGAATTTCGAGAAGAGGAGAGGTAGGAGAGCAGAGCGGTTACCGCGCCCCGGAACTTCGCCACGACGAACGAACAGCCCGTTGTAACGCGTTACTTACGCCGTGTAATTTTTGCAGTGGCGCGATATTAATTAATCGCGGTCGATTGCACCCCGCGAGCGATCTAATTTATACATTAACGCGTAATTGCGTACGGAAAACAGTTTTCGAAATTTTCTTTCTCTCCGCCGCCCCTGGCGGCGTTTGCAATGCCAACGTTTTCATTTGGCCATTGCAAACGTTGTTAATTTTCTATAACATTTTCTATAGTATTTTTTGACGTTGCGTTTGAAGCGGAGTTTGCACGCGCGCTTGCATGTGCTGCATGCGAGTTTTCTTTTTGTCCGCAAAATGAATCCACGTGGATTAATCGGGGCTTGATAATAATCGAGTCGCGCGAGCCTCTACATGAGCAAGCGCTTAAATAAGCGATGAGACGCGAAAAATAAATTATTTATGCAGGCGCGCAAAGGTTGAACTTTCATTAGCTGGATGTGCAGTGGCTCCACTATCTTCCCGCGGAATAAAGACCTTCATTAAAACTTATTATCCCTTTTACTCTGTCGGAGATGAGGAACTTTGCGTTATTCGGGCGGCTTACTTCGGAGCGACAATAGAAACGTAATTTCGTACAGTGTACCTTTTACGAAGCTATTTAGCGCGCGGCCTCGCCGCGCATCTCCGTAAGGAAAGAAGTTCCGCAACCCCTCGGGAGATATTGCACATTGTCGCGAAATCTAATTATCAATGTCGCGCTAGGTATTGCGAGAAAGCGAATCAATGGAAGCGCGTTCGTTTCTTCTGCCGCGCGAGCAGTTCGATGTTCGCCGGCAGATGCACTCTTGTCTTCTTCTTACCGCTTCCGGGTATGTACAAGTTGAGAAAGAGGCAGTCCTCGCTCTGATTCGTCAAGAAGGCGATCATCTTCTTGAGCTGCTGGTACCTGCCAAGCGGCATCTGCAGGAGCGCCGCGGTGTCATTGACGATGTCCGGATAGTTTTGCGGGCACACCGTGCCGAAGGTATCCGCCAGCCTGACACCGTTCCAAGGTATCGGCGAGATCGGGGCACGAAACCTTAGATCTCCCACGGGAGGCGCGGCGTAAGGTATTCCGCGAAACACTTCCACGGGGTCCAAGTGCCGGCTGTTCAGTTCCTGCGACAAGCACGATGAACGGTAAATTGAATATCCCTCGCTACTCGAACTCCCTCTTAATCAGCCCTTAAGACGTCTTAGGACGTCTCTCGGGGATGCGTCTTTCGGGGATGCATTTGATTCGCACCTCATAGCGAACGATGTCGAAGAGTGAATTGGCTCCCGTTTTCGAGTCGTGATTAAAATATCTCGTATATTTAATCAGACACGCGGGGGGAATTGCGTAGGATTATGTTTTGTATTATTTATGCCCGGAAAAATATATATGGCTTACATATATATATTTTTTTTTGTATAGAACAAATTATTTTATAATGAATATAAATTTTTGCGCAAATAAGGTATTACTTTAGAATGCGATTTATTATTCGCGAATATGGCGATGACTGTCGTGCAAGAATTAACGCTCCCGAGTCTCTTACTACTCTCAGCTATGACATAACATGACGGCCATTCGCGTCATGTCGTAACAAAGAAAGAGATTCGTTTCGCTGATCCCGAATTTTATTGGATCGCGATATGCTCCGTGTCGGAGTATTCGACACGTTTCGACGTAAATATCCACATTTTCCATCGATGGAATCCAGGGATAGCTGCGGAAAAATTGATAAACATAAACTACAAAAAAAAAATTGATAAATATAAATCTACAGGAGAACTGGGAACAGGTATCCGAGTTAGACGAGTTCTCTTTCTCTCTCTCTCCTCTCTCTCTCTCTCTCTCTCTCTCTCTCTCTCAGTTGAGCTCTCAGCATCCAATATCCATCTCATCTCCTATACGCGACGGAAGTGCGACGTGCGAATGATTCGGAAGACAGTCGGTTCGCGCACGCGACGCATGCCGCTGCTCTTTAAGCGGGCCGATGATTAAAAACGCCGCGTTTAAAAAGACGAGGTCGTGGATTGCGTTTGATGAAAAACGTCGCGATGATCGGAACGCGAGAGGGCGCCTGCGAAAGAAGGAAAAAGCGACGATGTAGTGTGCTCTTTGAATATCGGGAGATTGCGTTGAAATGTAATTGGAAGGTTAGATCGGCGACTCGTTTCGGTGTAATTATCTTCATGAAATTTACTCGAAGAGGATATCGATGTGCAAAAACACCTTGCAAAAATGTGGACGAAGCCGGTCGGTTCCGGTGAGCCTATAGAGAGAGAAAGAGGGCAGAGAGAGAGAGAGAGCCTTCTCTCGCGACATAATCGAGCGGGAAAAATTGCCATTAGGTCGCGTCTTGAAAGCAATTATGTTAGAAGGACCGATAAATCTCGTTTGTGCTGCGCGCCGACGTTAATTGCACCTCCGAGCGTAATTTGGGAAGGGCCGCCCGTCGAAATGGGCATCCTACGACTCGTCCTGGAAATTACAAATTTCTATTAACGTTCCGGCGTCGCGCACTTGTCCGAGGAGCGGTGAGGAGAAAAAAGAGTGTCACTCTGTTAAGGGGATGTGAGAATGAATTGGAGTGACAGTGGGAGCATGATAGGAAACGAGAGAGAGAGAGAGAGAGAGAGAGAGAGAGAG